ATCTTAGGCAACAAAGAAGTGTGTGTTTACGCTTTATTATAATAGTATAGATTGGAGTGTCTGTTTGTAATATCGAAAGAAAAATTCCAGATTGAAAGATGTATTTGCGTTGCTGATAATGAAAATCGCATTTAATTTTTTTTTTGTCTGTCTGTCTGTCCGCAAATCGATTTTATTCCGGGTAATCTCTGAAACGGCTGGGCCGATTTCGACCGGACTTTCACTGAAGGGTAGCTGACATAAACGGCCATATCATGGGCTAATTTTTAACCTAATATTGCGTGCAAGAATAATAATTATAGATATCATTCCAGTTTTTGACTTAAGATGTTACAAATGAAGAAAAAGACAAATCTTTCTAATCAATGTCTGATTTTTTTGTGCAAATAATGCTTCTTAACTTACGCTAAGTAGATGTAAACTTCATTGAAACTTTTTTAAATTCACACGCATATTGTTGTCTCTATTTAATCAAAATAAACGAAAGGAATGGCAACATAAATGATTTTTTTAAACTGGAAACACAAATTAACAAAGCTGTCAATATCCTAAATCGGAATACTCGAAAACATTTTTTCCAAAAACATATAACAATGTTTCTGTATATGTGTCGACAGTGGAAACAGGGTCAATCGAAACCAGTTACAGCAATTCTGAGTACAGATAACAAAACAATATTGAATTACAAATTACAAATTAATCATGTATATGAAATCCTATACTAGTTCTACAGAATAGCATTTCCGTTCATTACCGTTATCAAGTCACTTATATTACGTTGTTGCTATTGTAAATGCGTAATTCCACTATCAAAAACTTGTATAAAAAGTGTTGCTGTCCCACTCATATTTAGGAGAAAAAGAAAGACGTGTGTTTAAAATATGTAATGTTTTGGGCTTTAAGGCCGAACGTCTGTCATCAACCCTACATTAGAAAAATAAATTATTATGTAATATATCTTTTTAAAATAACTTAAAGGTAAACGTTTGATTATTAAGTAAAGAATTATAGTGAAATACTTAAAATTTACTTATAAAAATATAACCAAGTTTAGTAATAAACATAAAGTAGTCCCTTTCCTCTTTCCACCACTACACACATCATACTAATATTATACATGCGAAAGTTTAGATGGATGGATGGATGTTTGTCAGAGTTTGTAGCCTAAACTGCTGAACGGATCTCAATGAAATTTGGAATACATGTAGAGGATAGTCTGGAAGAACACATAGGATACTTGGTTTTTTTAATACCACGAGGACGGAAGCTAGTTTAAAAATAAAATAAAAAAGTGCATTTTAAATCTATGTATCCAACCGCTAAGCTACAATGGTAATAAACAAGTATTAAATGAGCCATTTATCAGCGACAAAGAATTAGGTCGGTAAGATTTCACCGTAAATCCGAACAACGTATTAATTCCTGATAAGGGACACAGTCGGTTTAGCGAAACGTTAAAAACCACACCGTTGGTAACAATAGCGTATACGAGATTGAGTTTTTACCTTACAATTGTTTTCTATAGGTGATTTCCGCGATACTTAAACGTTTATGAGCCCGTTGACGTGTTATGGATAAGAAATTTATTATTCACTAGCTGTTCCCGTGCGGCTTCATCCGCGTGAAATTATATAAACTTTATATTATTGTTTACATTTGTGGAATGTCAAAGTCAAATTCATAAATGACAACCTTGGTTCCTTGAAGTTGGTAGCTCATGGTCTATTTCCCACATTAGGGTTTTTATCAAATTTATTTACCCCCTAAGTTTAATAGCGTAAACATTAATAGCCTAAAGCGTGACGTAAGTGTAGAGCTTTTCATTAAAAAATGAATAATTCAAAAATATGCTGTAATTATTGACATCTTAGACAACAAAGAAGTGTGTATTTAGGCTTTATTATAATAGTATAGATAAATACTAGTTTTACTTCGGAGTTACACACAATTATTAAATCTGCTTGCCTTCTAAGAGTGATAGCGTGATGTTATATACCTTAAAACCTTCTTTGATTATTGGACTATCAAGTTAAAAAAGGTTTAATTTAATTCCATTTTTAGTAATTGAGATTAAAAAGTACAAACATAAAATCAATACAAAATTAGGCACTGGCTACACTGTTATGAATTAAAAAAAATGTAGGTGCTATATTATTGGTGTAACTTTTTTGTGTAAAGGTATAATAGACAAATAAGATGCAAATTACAGATTATTAAAGTCATCACAATTCAACATTGAAGAGTAATCGATATCTCGAAAAGTCAACAAAATGGCAGATCTAGATTCGGTTGAAAATTAAAAGATATCTTTGAAACAAAAGTCCTACACCAAGTGAAAATACTTCATACCTTTGACCTGAATTCTTTGCGTATAAAACAATGGTCCACTGTAAATTGGAAGCAATGAAAACTTCTTGGTCTCTTAGCAATGTAAAAGGCATCGGGACAATATTTCTTTTATTTTAATCCGACAATCTCGATACCAGATTCTATGAATGAGGCTACAATTGAAACTTGAGAACTCTTACGATAAAAATAACAAGGATGCCCGACACAGATCTTGTAGCAACAAAAAGTAACCTTTGATGTGACTTTCGTAACGAAAACCCTAACACCAGTTCTCACTCGAATCACACTCGATTCTCACTGATCACACTATAGTATAAAACTTCCCGTTGTCTGTATATGTTTACTTAGATCTTTAAACCTACACAACGGATTTTGATGCATTATTTGGTATCGCGCGAAGTCGAGGCGGATCGCTAATCTTAATACAAAGTTGACTCGAACAGTGCCTTATTAAATTACTATGTCGTAGTTTTTTTACACGTTGTTTAGGAGTAATACAAATTATTGTAAACGCGCCTTTTCATATTAAAACAGTTAAGTCTATCGATATTATTACTTCGAAATCTGTTTATCGCAATCATCAGCGTCAAAATACCGCACCCGGGGGCAAACCAATTATATGGTTTTTGGGGGGCCATATTTGTGCAAATATTTAATTTTGTAAAATTTTCAATAAATAATCACAAAAATACCACAGTTACAGCCTATCCATTTATACAAGTCTGCGTAATGCATTTTATTTTAATCGACTTGTCAACGAGTGAGAATCGAACAAATAGTAATCGAGCATAATCAAAGTTAAAACGAGTTTCCCAGAGAGGCCATGACTTGGGATAATTGACCAACAGGTGCGGTGGCTACTGTTGTTTTATTTTTGTACCGAAGGTCCAGAGATTCAACTAACTACCAACCCGGTATTACCTGAGATAATAAAAGCTCCCAATACATTCGATTTCTACCAAAATTAAGCTTGTACCGAAAAGTTTGGACCGTGAATTGAGTGTGAATTAAGGTCCGTTATTGTAGGTATTAATAAAGATCTTGTATAAAATATAATGATAAAAAATAACTTTTGTATGTGTCTGATGAAAGAATATTTAAAATCGGCTCAGTAGTTTTTGAGTTGTTTCAAAAAATACAAAAACACAAATCTTTATAATATTAGTATATAGTATAGATTGGTCATTGCAGTGTTAAGGTGACAAGACTTTTACATTGTCATTCTGGACATCAGAATGTATTGCCATTTTTCCTACGGTTGGCAATACTGCCACTGTTCCATACATCTCTATCAGCTTATCACGATCTATACATTACAAGAAGAAAATATAAATGTACTAGCTTTCCCCCGCGACTCCGTCTGCGTGGAATTAAAAAAAATGAGTAGCCTAGTTCTTCCATACTATCCTCTACATCTAACCAAATTTAATTGAAATCCGTTCATTTGTTTAGGTTATAAACTCTAACAAACATCCATCCATCTAAACCTTCGCATTTATAATATTAGTAAGTATTATTAAGATTGTTTATTTAAATAATTTACGGTTCATTCATACTATTTTCTGTGAAATTTTATAACTACGAAAGCCAGTAAAGTAACTAATCATTTAATTTGCAGTATAACTTGTTTTTTCATATTAATTTACAAAATTATATTATTTTTTTCCATAATATCTATATGGCATTTTAATACTGTGTAGAGCGTCGGTGGCTCAGTGGTTTAAGCACTTGACTTGTAATCTACAGGTCTTGGGTTCGAATTTTCGGTCGATTTTTGGAATTATCATATGTACATAAATTACCCGACGTTCTTACGGTGAAGGAAAACATCGTGATGCCTGCACATATCGGCGAAGAAATTCAAAGATATGTGTGAAGTCAACCAACCCGCACTGGGCCAGCGTGGTTGACTATGGCCTAGTCACACTAACTTAGGGTAGGCTCCGAGCCCCTCGGTGGGGACGTATAGTGAGCTGGTGATGATGATGATTTTAAAACTGTGGTGATTTCAATAGTCAACTGATGCGATTACCGTTCACGAAATTTTACTAGACCTTAGAGAAAAAGTAAATGAAATACTGAATCGATTCGTTGTAGCATTTTATTAGTAATAAAAATAAAATCTTACTTTTTAATAGTTATTAACAACACAGAGCGTTTTTACTTTCTCTAGGTATTTTTATATTAATTTAAAAATTTAATTCTAGCATAAAAATTATTTTAAAAAACCGTATTAATAATTTGTATGACCCAAAAGTAATGATTAGTAACTATTATTTTATTTCATAGTAAAGTATTATTTAAATATGTTATTCTAGCTTTCATCCACGACTCTTTTCGCGTGAAATAAAAAAAAGTAAGTACCCTATGTGTTCTTCCAGACTATCCTCTACATCTATGGTAATTTTCTTCGAAATCTGTTCATCAGTTTATGCTACAAACTCTAACAGACATCTATCCATCTAAACTTTCGCATTTATAATATTACTAAGAGTATGTTCTACATTTGTATCAAATTTCAGGATGATGGGTTGTCATTTTAGTAATACGTAACAAATATCCATCCATCCACACTATCACATTTATATTAATTAGATAACTGTAAAATCTATTTTTCTAAATTTAATTTTTATAAGTAAATGTACACTAACCTTTTTAATTAAAAAATAACACTATCATACACTAAACACAATGTTAAATCCAAAATAATCTTAAAACAAACACCATTCACTTAAAATAAAACAAAAAATCTCAACAAGTCATTTAAAATTGTCATATAATTCACTCGTTTAAAACAAAAACGAATGAAGAATAATATTAAAATGCCGCGTAAATCCACGCGCGTCGCGAATAGGGGTACATACACACTGCCACGTCTCGCGCCCAGCCAGTACTGAGGGTGTGTGGAAGCTACGCTCGCCCGGACAGACTTTTTGTCATACACCAAATAAACGAAGACGGTGAATTAGGTAGAATATTCACGTTTGCTCGAAAAATTAGTCTATTTTAATATACAAATGGTTAAAAGGACTAGATCTAGTTACTTTTTAGTAGCTAGATATGCTTAATTACTAAAGTTTTAGTTTTTAAGTGGAAAGGGATTTGTATGTTATTTAATTTAAATATCTCAATATTGTAAATTTGAAGAAACAGAAAAAATTAAGGAATTAAATTGATTTGATTTTCAAAAAATTACCTCTTTGAGCTATGATACAAGGTTAACTGTTTAAATGAACCTTAAATCAAAAGTATGGTCACATTTACCTATTTGAATCTACCGGGTATCGCTTAAAATCATTAATTGCTTCATCAACTTAATTATGTGCCTAATACAAACTACAATACTGCTTGCTCTTTGACTCGACAACGACCTTAATCTGAAATCCCTTTTCAACTCCTCGTGCCTCTCATTATTGATCTCTTTCACTCCTTACTACCGGTGCAATAATGTTTCGACACCGCTCGTGTAGACGAAAACTCCATATGTCTGTCTCGCTCGCACCGCACTGCAGAGCTTCGAAAACAAGGTAGAGGTGTCATGTAGAAATGTGTGCGTGAATTAGATATTTTTTTAACTGATAGTAAAAAGTTTTTATGTTTTTAATTACGTCATAAGGTTAGTGTAAGAAGGTCGAAATTTCTGTTAGTTTTTTACCTTATTAGATGTTTTTAAAATACATATTCATAGATCGAAGTCCTGAAGTTGAATAAAACATACGAAACAGTTACTCGGAGGCTATAATTTTTATCGAACAGTTGTCAGGAACACACTGTATAATCAAATTTTCTATTGGCTTGTTGTTTTAGGTTTTGTTTTGATTTGATGTTATAAAAGGTGTTCTATTAAATTGTAATTAACTGTATCATTAATTATTTTTTTAAACGTTCATCTTTTGACCTGTGTTTTAATGTGATTGCTGTAATCTTTTCTTGCGGTATATTTACAGCGTTGAAATAAATATGATATTATTATGAAAGATTTTGCCCACGACTCCGTCCGCGTGTAATTAAAAACAAAAATATGTAGCCTATGTGTTCTTCCAAACTATGCTCTACATCTATGCCAAATTTTATCGAGATCCGTTCGACCGTTAATATTGTAAACTCTAACAAACATCCATACATCTAAACTTTTACATTTATAATATTAGTAAGACTGTTTTATTACTTATTAAATTGTTTTGTTTTAAAAAATATCTATCTCTGTTCTAGTTTTGATTTGTTTCTTTACATTATTTCTCTAATAATAGTAGGGTAATTATGAAGTATACATAAATTTATTACTAACAATAATCGATTACAATTCTTTCGACTTAAATTAGTATTTTTAAGTCACTAATTTCGATGTTTAGTGGAAGTGCTTCTTCAAATAAATTGGTCATTTTAAACATTGGTCAAACCAGATGTATTTTACACACATAATTACTTTAGAAAAAAGAATACCATTGTTCATTTTTAGGGTTGCTATTTTTTTACATCTATCGTGGATTTTACAATATAGCATTTTTATTGTAACTTTGTAACAACTTTATTTAAAGGTATCTTGTAGTTTATAAGGTTTTTTATATAAGAGAAGGGGGAAAACGAGCGACGAGAACACAGAGGTGGTCAACGACGCCCATGGACATCTGCAACACCAGAGTAACTACAGATGCGTTGCCGGCCTTTGCGAAAATGATAGGCTCTCTTCTTGAAGCACCCTGAGTCGTATTGGTTTATCAGGTGAATTTAAAATTCGAACATCGGTGTTCGTTGCAGTTATTACTAAAATTGAAATTCTCAATGCGGTTTAGAGTAACCAATAGAGGTGGCGAGTTGGATGCAAATGGGAATCCGTGTTGAATTTATTGCAATTAAGGGCCGTATACTGAAACATTTCTTAAATATGTAACAGCTTCTTAAATGATAAAGCCACTATTATACTTCAAATGCCATTCAATTTTTACGTTTATCAGATTGTAAGCGACGCTTACGAAGAAATATTTAAGATTCTTTTCAGTATCTGGCCATAATTTAATTCATTGTATCGGTTTTAGACAACTAGCTCTTTAATATCTTTACTAATATTATGAAGGGGAAAGATTTATATTTTTTCATAACACAAAAACTTTTGGGCCAATTTTAATAATTCTTTCGCCATTAGAAAGATGAGTACCATAGGTGTATAGTAACATAAGTATACATTTTTGTTATTTTTAAATTCACGCGGACGAAGTCTCGAGCAACACCCAGTTTAGTAATAAAGCCGAAATCATGAAATAAACAAGGTTTCAATGTCACGTGACGTTTCGTTACATGAGAGAGATAGCAAATGTAGCGTATTAAGTGAAAGAGAGAGGAGGAGCGATTATTTTATATTTAAAATAATTTAAGGAAACTTTTATCGGTTTTTTATAATTACTATACGACTTTTGTAATGTAATTTATAAATACTGTTTGAAACAGGAGAAAAAGTTTACGGTTTTACGGTTCTATATCTTACTAATATTATAAATGCGGAAGTTTGGATGGATGGATGGATGAATGTTTGTTAGAGTTTGTAGCCTAAACGGATCAATGATTTTTTTTATAGATGTAAACAATTGTCTGGAAAAAACATAGGGTACTTACTTTTGTTTTTTCTTTTAATTCCACGCGGACGGAGTCGCGGGCAAAAGCTAGATTTTCTTATTACCTAATAAGTGAATCTAATCTTAAAGAAAATCTGCCTATAAATTAAATTATGCTGTCAGTACAGGTAAGTACACCGACATTGCGTACAAACCTGTTTCCTACACGACGTAAGGCGCGGCCTCTAAGAATTCACCCCTTCACTTAGAAGGGATTTAAGTTCCAGCGCAAAATTACTTTGTTTCAATGCAAATCAAGTAAGATAGGCAAGATCTAGGGCTCGTATCAACAAATCCCGGCCGTTTTTGCGTACAGGTTGAGATGAGGCTTAGAGTTTGGTATTATAAGATTTAAGATATAAGTTCTAATCAAGTATATTCTAGTAATTTATGTCATCATCATCCACTTGCTTTTATCCCTTACGGAGCTGTCATATCTGAATCCACTCCTTTCTTAAGCATATCCTCTTTCAAACAATCCATCCATACTTTCTTCTGTCTTCCTCTACCTTTGTAGCCATCCACGTTCGATCTTAACACTTTCTGGTTTATGTCCCCGTCTCGTCGCATGACATGTCAATACCACGCTAACCTTTTGCTTCTCAATTTCTCCACCACTGGCGCTACTTTAAAACTTCCTCTAATTCTAGTAGTTAATCTATATCTGTACTAATATAATAAAGCGTAAACTCACACTACTTTGTGGCGTATGTCAGCAATCACAGCATAGTTTTCAATAATTATTTCTTTAATAAAAAACCCTACACTTACGACACGCTTTAGGCTACGAATATATTGTCACGCTATTAAACTTATGGGCTTAGTTAAATTGGAAAAAAACTCCATGTGGGAAAGGGACCATAAACTACAATTTTGCAACACTAAGAAGGCAAGGTTATTATGGTAACGGTAATTTTGATATTTGCAATTGAGAATTTGAAAAATGTAAACAATAAAATAAAGTTTTTTATAATTTCATGCGGATGAAGCCGTTTGGGGACAGCTCCTTATAAAAAATAATTTTAAAGTTCTTAGCTCGTATAATTAGCCTAACGAAAGATTACTGAAACGAAATCATATAAGTAAGACTGTCTTAAATGAAAAGGCCAAGCTTAAACTTAAAATTCATTTAAAATACTGATTCGAACCCACCACATTTTCGGAAATCCTTACCTTAATGGTTAGGCCATTAGGCTATTGGCGCTTGCTTGCTAGGCCAATGGTTGGAATGAGCAATCGATTTTATTAATTCAGATAGCTTAAAATGTGAGGTTATATTTGGACGAGGCTTTCCTTAATGCGACATAAATGTCAAATTGAAATGTCGGTCATTAAAAATAACGATGTACCCTAACCGCTTACGTTCTGCGAGCAAGTAATTATTGAATTTTATTTGGCCTCGTTATGTTAGTTACATCTACTAATTGTTGATGCGAGTGTTTCTTACTATTTTATGGAATTAGATTCTTTATAACCGTAGAACTTCATTAGGCACAGTATTGTCTCTTCCATACATCTCTCATCATCACCAGCTCACTATACGTCCCCACCGAGGGGCTCGGAGCCTACCCTAAGTAAGGGTGACTAGGCCATAGTCAACCACGCTGGCCCACTGCGGGTTGGTTGACTTCCCGCATATCTTTGAATTTCTTCGCCGATATGTGCAGGTTGCATCACGATGTTTTCCTTCACCGTAAGAACGTCGGGTAAATTATGTACATATGAAAAATCGAAAAATCGAAAATCACATTGGTACATGGCTGGATTCGAACCCAAGACCTGTAGATTACAAGTAAAGTGTTGACCACTGAGCCACCGACGCTCCTCCTCCATACATCTCTATCAGCCGTCATATCTCAAAGCATATCCTCATTTTCTTCGGTCTTCCTCTACCTTTGTAACATCTTAACACTTTGAATTATACAATTAGTAATATTTTTGTACTAACATTTATTGTAGATTAACTATACTAATATAATGAGGCGTAAACACACACTACTTCGTGGCGTAGGATGTCAGCAATCACAGCATATTTTTGAATAATTCTTTCTTTAATTAAAAGCCTTACACTGACGACACGTTTTACGCTATAAATATTTACGCTACTATATTTAGGGGGTAAATAAATTCCAAAAAAACCTCCAAGTGGGAAAGAGATAAGCTACAAGCTGCAAAAATGAAGGAATCAAGGTTATTATGGTAACGGTAATGTTGACACTTCCAATTGAGAATTTGAAAAATGTTAACAATGAAATAAAGTTTTTATAATTTCAT